AGCAGAAAAATGCTGAAAATTTGGCAAGTGTGTCCAGGGACATAAGCTGGTTGGGGACCAAGAGAAGCTGCAAAGGGAATTTTTTTTTTTCCTGGTTGAGCTTGAAAGCATCCAATTCTATCTTGTAATAATTTATGTAGGTTTTAAATATATAATTAATTGGTTTTCAGAAATACTCTCCCTGAAGGGGTCTTTACTTTGTGTGTAAGGACTGACTTTTTTAATCACATTCAAACCAATGATGAACAGAGTCCCTCCCCTTGCTAGTGACACTAATCCGTTATGTACGAATTCTCTATCCCTGCCGCTTCAAATGGGAGAAAGACGAGGCATTCTGCTCCCATAAAAAGTTAGTCTCAGAAACCCACAGGGGCAGGTCTACCCTGTCCTATAGGGTCGCTATGAGTCGCAGTTGACTCAATGGCAGGGAGTTTGTCTTAGTTTGCCAGTTTAAAACCTTTGCAATTCCGAGGGACTTGCGGTAGTACCGCCATTGGACAGAAGAGGGCGACAGACCCCCATTCAGTGAGTACATAGATGCTCAGGGCTTGTCTCCTACTAGGCTTTGCAGCCTCCTGAGCTATGGGGGTGGTGTTTTTATTTCCATTCCACAGCTGAGAAAGCCGAGTCTTAGAGAGACAAGAGGATTTTCCTTGGGATTGCACAGCTGGGAACGCTGGAGATTTCTAACCGTCTGTACAGCTGAGGGCTCCTGAGTGGCAGGATGGTGGGATGGGCTATGGTGGGACTGGGGGGCTTGAAGGTGCTTCTGCAGAGCACTCTATGCCAATGGAGTTAATCGTCCATTGCTACTCGGACTAGACAGTGGCAAAGCAGAAATATGAACTCAAGGTTTCTACCTCTAAATCAAGGGTCATATTTAGATTATTACCCAGTTCTCCTGACAATGACAGGGGATGGCTTTCTGCCCACCCCCTCCACTTTGATTTCTGTCTTGTGGCACCCGTTCCTGCTACTAGAGGGAGTGACCAGGCCACCAAGGCTCCAAGTGTTGGCAGAGAGACATTACATTAAGACCCATAGCCTTCTTAGGAGTTGGTATTATAGATTCAGGGAGACTAGAGAAGGTCCTAAGGAACCCTGGTGGCATAGTGGGCTGCGAATTTGAGTTGCTAACCAAAAGGTCAGCAGTTCAAACCCTCCAATGGCTACACAAGAGAAGGATGAGGCTGTCTACTCCTGTAAAGGTTAACGGCTTAGAAACCCACAGGGGCCATTGTACCCTGTCCCCCAGGGTCACTATGAGCCAGAACCCTATGTCTCGGTGGCGCTTGATGGCAGTGAGTTGAGTTTGGAGCGAAGGTCCTCCAGTACTGTTCTGTGTGTCACATACTGGGTTGACTGCATGCAGTCAGTGATGGTGACAATGGCGGCACATGCTGAGTACTTACTCAGGGCCAGGCAACCCCTTATTCACTGGAAGCCTGGTAGCAAGGTCAGCAGTTTGAAGCCACCTGCCCCTCCACAGGAGAAAGGTGGGGCTTTTTACTCCTGGAAAGACAGACAGTTGCAGAAATCCTGAGTGGGAATTGACTCGATGCCAGTGAGCGGTTTGTTGTTTTTATCTCGTTTAATCCTTCCAAGAAACTTGTGAGGTAGGTCATGGTCTCCCTCTTTTACAAGTGAGGAAAGTAAAGCCAGAGAGGTTTGATGGTTTGCCCAAGTGCACTTGACTAATCATTGCCGTGGCCGTGCTTGGCTGCAAGCATCCCCACGTGCTCGCCTATGGCCCCACGTGCTGTCCTCCGAGGGGGCCTGACATTTGAAGTCGGCGGCAGATTGCAGCTCAGGGACTCCTGGGGAAGTCCTCGGACTGGCCGCCTTGAAAGCCCCAGAATTCAGGGTTTCCCAGTAGAACCTGACTGACTCCAAGGACTACCTCACCAAGCTTACTGTTTCCCGGGAATATTCTCTGTTGGTTCAGCACGTTGGGAAGCAAACCAGTCACAACCCAAGAGAACCTGCACACAGGTTCCTCCGGCGCTGGCTGGGGCTTGTGCAAATTGGTACCGGGCCTGACAGTGAACTGCCATCCAAATCCAGTGATTTGCAGCCGACGTGGCTTCGCTGTGTGTATAACACCCTAAACAGAGTGCGGCTTCCCCTGTTTCGCTTCGCTCTGGTCCCTAATTTTGAGTAGAAGGCATTCGGCAGGTCCTTTGGAAGACACGCCATCCAAACAAACCCCGATGCCCTTTGCCTCCTAGCTCTTTCCTCTATTTCCTTTGACTTCCCTCTTGTCCCACTGTCATGCTCAGCCTTCGTTTGGTTTCAGCACTTCCTCTCGGTTTCATTGCCCTTGATTAACGCCTACCAGGCCTCTTACACCCTCCTCGCCACGGATTTTGGATCCCTTGTGGTTCCCTTGTCCCTGGGTCTGTTAA